TTTCTTTAACTTAGCCTAGTGGCCGACCCTTGTGTTATTCCCATGTAGAGACGCAAAGAAGATCCAAAAGTAGCGTAACCCCCCCCCCCAGGGTCCCCCCCCACCTTTTAGATCCGACGGCTGACAGAATTCTTGAGCCACCACCTTTGATCTCGACCGTCCATTAGTCAATTTTTGTTTATTAGGCCTTTGTTCCACCCTGTAATGCTGGGTTTAGTTTTCTTCTTCAATTCTAAGTTGCTGATTGTCTAGGTTAGTCCCCATCTCTCTCTCCCTCTCTCTCTGCAAATTTCTTCAATTACCATTCAAGAATCCAATAATCATCTATCAAAATATTCCCACTAATTTTTAGTCAGTGCATTATGCAGAACAAAATGTTGGTCCCTCCATGGCTAGAACCACTGCTGAACACCGCTTTCTTCACCGTCTGCCGGACTCACAGCGCCGCCGCCAGGAGTGAATGCAATATGTATTGCTTAGACTGTAATGCTGATGCATTTTGCTTCTATTGCCGCTCTGCAAAACACAAAGATCATCAAGTTATCCAAGTATGGTCTTTCTTCTTCTTCATCTTCTTAGTCCTAACGCATTAATAATCATTAAACAAATACATACGTTATGTAGATAAGGAGATCTTCGTACCATGATGTGGTGAGAGTTTCGGAGATTGAAAAGGTATTGGACATAAGTGGAGTGCAAACCTATGTTATAAACAGTGCAAGGGTTTTGTTTCTGAATGAGAGGCCTCAGCCTAAAACTGGCAAAGGAATTCCTCACATTTGTGAAATCTGTAGTCGGAGCCTGTTGGATACTTATCGATTCTGCTCATTGGGATGCAAGGTTAGAAATTCTTCACCCCTTCCCTCCCTTGATCACATTGTTCATATCATGTCTTACGAAAACGCTTGGCTTGTGGGTTTATAAGCATATGATTCGCAATCCCCCTATGGTCGTATTTAAGGCCTTAAGGGTCGGTTCTACCCAATGTGTAACTCAACCAATGATCATCTTCTTCATATACTAAGCCATATGATCTCACCTGTAAAGCATAGAAGATTCATGAGCCGCATTCATGAAACTCTCTTGCTAGCCTAGCTATACATCCTTTTGCATCTGCGCGAAAATAGGGTTTTCACGACTTTTAGTATATAATTTTATTCATCATTGTTTATCTTTTTGATATGTAATGTACACCATTAACATCATTAGGATGAGTTCCCATTATTGTTTCCAATAAAAGTTTAATGTTTTTATTTTCTTGAGTAGGTCATGAGTCAATTCTTCATCTTTTCTTTTTTTTTTTTTTAATTTTTTGTTTGGAAAAATTCAGCTTGTAGGCATAAAGAGAAATGGGGATGCAAACTTTGCCTTAGATGGTGGAAACAATGAGGCAATGATACAAGAAGGAAATGAAGGGATATCGAGAAGAAGAGTAATGTCGTCATCAAGAGAAGAAGAAGAAGAATTTCGCAAAGGCTTACAACAAGATCTATGCCCACACACGCCTCCTTCTAGTGCAAGAAGAAGAAAAGGCATTCCTCATAGAGCACCCTTTGGCTTTTAATTATAAATTATAACTTATTTTCTTTTAAATTATACAACTCATAATTTAGGGCCATTGTCCCAACAATTATAGGTCACATTAATATCATGTGGGTGGGATGGCATGGGGGTGGGGAGATGTCTCATACCAAAACAATTTCTCATGTGGGAAGATCAATAATGAGGAATTGACATTGAAAGTTGCAAGGTGTGTATATAATTAAGAAATTTAAAGCAAGTCTTTGTGGAATTCATTTTCTAGTTTTCATGGGGCCACCATCTCACATGGGCCGTTTATAAAGAACAACTTTGATTACTCTAATACATGCAATTGGGCATATAAATCACCTTTCTATGATTGTTAATTAGTTTGGAGAGCTCAATTAATTCGGATTCTTACGTTTGTTAGGCGTTGTTTGATTCAATTTACTATGAAAACTATGTCAAATGATGTGTGATCGTACATGATTTGGTGGCAAAGGAGTAGGTAAGTTGTCACAGTTGCAACAAAAATTAGTAGGTAAGTTGTCACCGAAACAATATTTTCCTTGATATTGCTGAAAAATATGTAAGAAAGTTGATTCGCTAAATACAAAATTTATATCTCAATATAGTGAACAATTAATTTTTTTTATCGGTTTTGACGTCGTAGATATAAAAGTCAATGGATAACCATAGTGCTGATTTTTCAATCTTTTCTACTTTGTAATTTAGTATCCGTATAGATGAAGATAATCAATACATCCTAAAGATGTTTAGGCATCACCCGAAAACAAAGAGAGCAACAAGAATTTTTCAGAAATGAATTGACCTCTAAAAGTTAGCCTCAATTCGTATTGTGTAGTCGAAAAAAAAAAGAAATAGAAAAATCAATCTTATTAAGGATTTTCCAAAAAGTGGTAAAATAAATGGAAATCATAGTAACCCACGCGCAAAAATATGAAAAAGGGAAAAATGGAAACAAATTGTTGTAAGGTGCAGTGTCTTCTTCTTCGAACATTTTGGACATTTTTCTTCATTAAATGGTTGTGCATCCATCAAATTTTGAGAAGATTTAACAAGAAGTCTTTTCTTTCAATTTTTTGAAATTGAAATGAAATAAAAAAAAACTAAGTTTTAAAAATTGGGTGAAGTTTTAACATAATGTTTTGCCACCCTAAGAAAAATCCACTTGTGAATCTTGCATGAAGAAATTAGTCCACGGAATTATGTTAAAAGGATGAATCGTTTTGATATAAGTAAAGGTTTGGAATTGAGAAGTCGATTTAGAGATTCGTGAAGAATTTTTTTTCTAAAGGTGCTGTTAAAAAATATGAGTCATAGGTCACCCATGTGGAGGGACCCGACCCACAAGATATTAAAAGAGTTGGAAGATGGAATTCAAATCGACAACTCCCCATAACTCTCATAAAACCTCTAATTTTTGTCTTACAATAGAGAGAGAAAAGATGAAAGAAAATAAGTGAAATTCATATGAAAAATCACTCAAAAATAGAAACATGCATAGGACCACATATATGGCATGAGAATTCACAAAATTAAGTATTTAGATTGTAGATAATAATCCACATTCATTGTGATGAGATTGAGACCATTGGAAAACAAGAAAAAGTAGATTTTGGAGATTAGAAATTCAAGGTGATTCAACCACGTAAAGGTCTTGGAACTCGTCATTTCAAGTAAGAAACTTGACCCGAAATTCACACTAAAGCATGCTTCGAATTACTTTATTGGTATCAAAGCCATAATGTTGAATTCGTTGCTGTAACACATGCTTAAATGTGTCATTACATAATACAATTGGATTATGAATCTTGTATGTAAAGTTTTGAAACTTTATGTGGTCTTTAAGGGAATCTTTTGATAAATTACTATTTTCTATACATTAATAATTATGCGGTAAAATTAGTATGGTTAGAAAAGTATTTTAATGAGCTTTCCAGACATATAAATAACATAAATTTTGGAGTTAAAATAAAGAAGTTATGGCCCCCAAAATTTTGATCTAAATATAACTTTTTGAATGAAAATTGGTAAAAATCGAAACTTCATCATATCATAACTTCTTCTACACAGTGTTCTATACTTCCCATTTAATATGGTTGAATAGATATTCTCAAGACATTTCCAATAATATAAAGATCATTAATTTTAGACTCCAAATAAAGAAATTATAAATTCTCAACGTTTAATTGAAAATATGAAATTTTGCATGATTTTCTTTTTTTTTTTTTTTGCCATTTTCAGTCTCTGACATATCTGTTGATGTCCCAAACGTGGCCTTAAAAATTAATTTTGTAAAATCTAACTACACAAATGAACTGAACGTCGATATTAGTCGACATGACCAAGGACGATGTAGCGGCGCTAACGCACCCCCATTTTTTATTAATTTAAAAATTATTGCAGTTTGGTCCCACACCTTAGGACGCGTGCGGAACTCAATTTTAATACAAAAAATTTCAGATTGGTCCCTGAATTATTCTTTATTTTTCAGTACAAGTAAAATTAATTTTTGGATAGTTAAAAGTAATTTTTTTATATTTAATGCTTGAAATAAATTTGTAAAAAGTGTTAAAATTACATTTTTTTTTTTAATTTGAGAAAATTCTGAATTTTTTTTTTATAAAATCAAGAATATTTATTAAGTGATATTTGGTTAGTGGAAACTACTTTTTAAAATGCTATCATTTTTTTTGGAAAATGAAAAATACTCTGAAAATATTTAAAAATATGTGTTTTATATACATACATGAGTTGTGTGAATCTTTGACTAGGTTAGGTGATACATTGTGACTTGTTTTCAATTTTTGTGATTGATCAGATATTGCGGAATATATGCACACTTATTGTATCTTTAGAGGAAATGTTAGAAAAGTAAGGGTTATGGAACCTGTTGAAAAGCTACGTATTTATTAAAATTAATAAATGGATCTAGAACATAACCTAGTAGGATACATGAATATTTTTGGTACATGTTTTTATGATAAGCAGAATATGAGAATTTTGATATTAGTTCCATTTGTAGGGATTATACAGTAAAAGATATTAAAATGATGTTGAGAATATTTATAATAAAACTTAAATGATGTGAGTTTTATCTTTCGATTATAATTATAATTATTTTTTGGAAGAGTTAATTTGTGATACCATGATGTGTCATAATTGGATAAACATACATATTTATGCTTAATGCAACTTGAGTGCCTTTAATTTTGAAGCAATGTAAGACATTTCCATAATGTACTCCCGTATATTTCTTTATACCTCATTGAAATAAGGTTTGCCAAAATTGTACTAGTTTCAGTCTTTTCATTCTTGGCAAACATCTTCTCAAGGTTTTCAAGAAACTCTTAGTCGTATTCACCTTATCGGACATAGTGTCCCGAAATGCTTCAGGAATAGCATACTTTATGACCATCAAGCTTATGCGGTTCGATTGTTCCCACTTTTCCATTTCCCTATTGTCATCAGAGGTACTCTTATCAGTAAATGCAGTAGGTTGATCGACCCCTAAAGCAAGGTCCAGATCCATGACTCCGAGAAAAATCATTACCTTATCTCGCCGTGCCTTAAAGTTGGTATCATTAAATATTATAATTGAATTGATGCTAGCAGAGATATCAATAGCAGAATCTTATATTGAATTAGAGAACAATTAATTGAAAAAGCTCACAATTCTTAATATGCAGATAATAATTTCAAATAATCGGGCACATCACAAGATACATAGCACAACATCAATAGTTAGTCTTTGGACAGAAATAGACTTTTAAATAGTACTCTTTGTGTAGTGATCAAACACTAATAATAAAAAAACATGTTAATTAATAAACATTTCTTTGGACCGATTTATTGATCACACGTTAAACCAAATAATAGTCACATGCTTATCACCAAAGATATATGTGCAATTCGGCCAAATATTGACATTCATTTGGGCCAATCAAATATTCACATGAATAACATACACACACACCCACCTTTTAATATTTTTAATTAATTAATTTTCACAAGAGATGTTGCTTTGACAATATGTTGCTTCAATTAATTCACTTTCGAATATTATAACTCTCAAAAGAGTCATTTGTTCCGAAATTTAAAAAAGAAAATCACCAAATTTGCATATTTAATTTATCTTGAAACTTTAGAGGTCTAAGGATTAATAATTAAGAAATTTAGGGATCAAAAATTAATTATTCGAAACTTTAGGAGTCAATTTAAACAAATTATGAACTTTTAGGGGCTTAATTACAAAATTCAAAAATTTAATGACCCAAATTAATTAATTTTCAAACTTCAGGGACTAAAATATTAAACCCAACACTTTAAAGGCCAATAGGATGAATTTTAACCTTAAGGGGTTGAATCATTAAAGTTTTAAACTTAATGGTCTGAATTATTAAAACTTTAAAGTTAAGGGGCTGAAACATAAAAACTCATTTGAAAAATTGCAACCCCAACCCTAATTTCAAAATTGCAAACAAGGGCCTAAAATAACCTAATTGTCACGACAAGCCCCGTCCCCAAAATCACCCAAACCTAAAGCAAACCCTGGATCCAAAGTAAACAAGGGAGCGACGCTCGTTCCATTGGACAGAAGGCAACTTGTCGCTGCGTGTGAACGCCACATTATGTTCACCATTGCTCACAGCACCGTGCGGTGTGGCTCTTACGAATCCAAAGTAAATACGGGAGCGACGCTCGTCCCATTGGACAGAAGGCAGCTTGTGGTTGCGTCACACGCAGCGAAGAACGCCACATTATGTTCGCCATTGCGCACAACACCGTGTGGTGTGGCTCTTGCGGCAGCGAGTCGCGCGCTGCAGGATGTCACATAATTTTATTATTATTATTATTTAAACAGAACCGAATTATAAAAGACACGACGGAAAGAATTTTCAAATTTAGCGAAAACTAAATACGAATTGCTAAAGTAAAAAAATGAAATTATCACAAGAACGAACTTAAAATCTCGATTCTCAATGATTCAACATGAATTGACTCTAATACCACTTGTTG